TAGTTAATAATGGTATATCCTTGAAACATTCTAAGAGAGTGGATGTTGTGTTTTCACCACTAAAATGATAACTATGTGAGGTAATGCATATGTTATCTATCTAAATTTAGTCATTCATAATATATGTATACTTCAAAATATCACAGTATACATGATAAATATATATAATTTTATGTCAATTAAAATAATATAAAATAACTTTAAAAAGAGAAAATAAAAACATGGCTTGAGATGGATTCTATAATTGGAGGGTTAAATGAGCCAATTGAACACATCTTTAAGGTGTATATTAGTGTGTGTGTGTGTGCAGGTTTGTATGAGCTCATGTACTGATGGTTAGAGACATGATCAGATAGCTCCTTCTGTGAATTGACATGCAAGATGGATTAGGCATTATATTTTAATGGAAAACCAGTAAAACAATGGATTCTGATAGCTTTCATTCCGAAGGGGTAGAATGTTTTTCCCTAGGGTTAATTAACTTTCAAAGCTTGAAAGTAAGTAATAAATTTAGAAATACTAATTTCTTTTACTCACTGAAGATAGAGTCCTAGGCCCGTTTCTGCTGTTTAGGAGCGTTTTGAGCTAGTCGCAGAAATTCTAGAGGCTTGTGTTCTTATTTTTTATTTTTGAGACTTGTGTTCTTATCTGTATAATAAAGCTAATAATAATTTTGTCAAAATGTGCACTATTGTGAGAAATAATATAATGAACTTAAAGCACTCAATAATCTCTCAATACATTGTTATTTTTGTTATTTTGCAATAGAGAAGATACTGTAAAGTTGATTTCCTGAATTTCTACAGGTTTGAAGGAAACTTTTCATGTATAAATATATAAGATAGAGAGTGCTACGATTAGACTGTGTCCCCCTATCTTCCTTATCGAAAGCATGTGTTGGAAAAACAAATATTTCTGATTATATTTCTTAATTATGTTATAACATCTCAATCTTATACACGCATAACAAGAAACTTAGGTTAGCACTTATCTCAAGTTTCACAAATGGTATGAAAAAAGAGAAAGTTAATTTTGTTTACTGAATTCCTTGTTAAGAGTTTTTGAGATATAAGAAAGTGAGAGGCTTCATAAATTGGTGATAATAATGTTTGGACAGCATCTATGTTTCTACTGGGTGACTGATTTCTCTTAGAATATTGTCAAGATTTCTCTGTTTTGAATTCTGACATTAAAAATACATAACTACAATTAAAGTGAAAATAAGGTAATTTTAAGGGCAACTTTCACTTAATATAAAATTTCTAAATATTTCATTGATTGTACACCTCACAATTTACTAAGGAATAAAAATAAAGTATATAAGAACACATATTTCTTCCCCAGAGAACATGATACAAACACTGCATGGGAATTGATGGAGATCATTTCTTACATAGGAACCAGAACTATAGTTTCCCTCTGAGATTATAGAGAATGGAAAAAGAAACTCAAATTGCATACATGGCAGATCTCAGCCATCCAGAACTTTGTAATAAATAGGATTCATGTGACATGCTCTGGTAATTTGGGTCTAAGAGGATGGTAACTGGTCAGTTAATTATGTGGGTGACATATAAATAATTAACTGTAAGTAAATAAGCAATGCCTTGGGAAGAAATAAAAATGTACCTGCAGAATATAGCCTGAGCTTGAACACCTTCAGAAATCATTTGGTTCTATTTGGAGCATGCTTTGAGTAGTTTTTGAAATCAAGGCAAGTACTCCTTTTGCCTTCAAACTTTTTTCTATGGGGTGGCCTTCTGTCATTTATTTGATGTGGTGATATGACATGTAGTTACTGATGTGGTATAAATTTTGTATTTGTTTGTGCATAAATTGGGGAAAATAGGAAGTGAAATATTGGTAGCACTCAACATGCTGGAGAAGATATCAAATCAGATGTTGCAAAGAAATGATTTAAATGGTAAGTGAATGACTAATTTCAATGAAGAGAGGACAGAATCAACTGTAAAGGAAAAAGGAATAGATTCCAAATAAATTCAGAGCATATTTGAGTAAATTATTTTTTTCTCTCTTAGCATTACTCTCATAAATATGTGACATTTGTTGAAAATATTTTTTTTTTACTCCTATGTTAAGAAATCATATTCAGCAGTAGCTACTTTTTAAACAGGCTGTACTGCAAATCCTAAGAAATTTTAGGATTAAATGAACCCTAAATTAAGGAGGACTTGGTTGTCTACTGGGGATGAGATGACATATGCTAGGAAAATACAATCAATGTCAAAGGATAATACTGCCTACTCTCTTGGAGAACCGCATGTGAGAAAAGGGACATGCTGTTACAACTCTTGAGAGACGGTCTGAAACAAATTGACAAAAGAGAAAGTAATTCTGAAAATGACATTATTGTGAGAAGAGTTCTTAGATACAATTAAGGCTAGCTTCCTCATTTTGCAGAAAGGAAACATAGGGGCCAAGAATATAAGGTCATAAATCTAAGTGGCAGTATTAGGGTATACACTCAAATCACTTTTCCCCTAGCAATTTTTCTTACATGGACAATAGCTGAAAATGCAGTATTGCTGTTCTTGCTCGAGAGAACAAAAGATATCTTGCTTCCTACAGAAGTATGTGAGCTGTACTTTTGTGGCTTTCTAGAGCTGGCCTATGTAGGAATCCGGAACTGATTCAGTTTGTGTTTTTAATAGATAGTTGGCCTAATTCATAGTTTATATTTCAACTTAGACATTGTCCATTTAAGTTTGAGTGTCTAAAGTGAAGCAATGACTGAAAATCAAAAGAGTTCCATAAAGAGATTTAGACTCAACAAGACAGAAAATTGATGAGGACAACCAGGACTTGAACTCAGATCCAGGACAAGTAAACTTAATAAATATTTATAGAGCTCTCCATTTCAAATACAAAAAATATACATTCTCCACTTTAAATACACAAAATATTGATTGGCCATTGTAAATACCCATTTTTAGAATAAAGCAATATTCCCGTTCTCTCTCCCTCTTTTTCTTCCTTTTTCTTCCTCTCCTTCACTCCTTTTTCCCCTTTTCTTCTAAAAAAAAATAAACAAAATAAAAAATAAAAAAAGAAGAAAATCAAGAGGCATCCTACTTTGCATGAGAAATTAAGGTATGTATGCAAACTTCAGAGTTGGGACAGTCAGGATTAATGTTCAGTTTATCCGGTGTGAATTTGCTCATTTTTTTCATGGACATACAGTGGGATGTTTGCAAACTTAGGCTCTGAAGTCAGAAAACTCAGATTTTAAGCCTTAGTTTGCTATATACCATTTATGTTACTATGTACAATTTCCCAAATTACTAGAATCCTAATGTAATTTTAATGTCTTTTTCTTTGTGATACATTAATATTAGCACAGTGATATTGTCCCTTGTCCACTATTTTATTCTTCTAAATATCTTTTCTCACCTATTACTGAGGTTGAGCTTCAGCATCAATCTCTAAGTACAAGGATGAAGACATATTTCCTTACATTTAAAATGAAGAGAAAGTGTTTTAAGGCAAGTTAATAAATTTGAAGGTAACATTTGAAGTTAGTGGCTAAATTAAGGCAAGTAACAGGGATTGCCTCCAAATTATAAAGCATGATTAGATGTTTACCAGCAAATGAAAAAAAATAAACACCAACGTAGTAGTTAAACGTGGTGTTTCTATGTCTATAAACAAGTTGAACCCAGAAGAAAAATTGCCAGTAGAGAACTTAGTTATCAGCTGTAGCTGATGAAACCAAGACAGCAATTACAGGGATTCAAACGATGTTTTTAACAAACTTACAATAAATGGAGACAGATTGATGCACTGGCTTAGTCTGAGAACATTCTATGTATGCCTTTTTTTACTTAGAGGCTTAACTTTATGTAAGAGTCTTAATATCCTTATGGGGGTTAAGAAGTATATTTTATATTTCAGGTGGATTTTTAAATAACAAATATAAATTTGTTTGTGAAAATGAAAACATATAAGAAAAAATTTTAAGAATAATTCAAACTAGTAGTATATTCAATATTATTATTTTCTTCAAATAAAATGAAATTGCCTTTCTTATTGGCAAAGATTAGTCTGATTATGGAGAAAATAATAATCTATTTCTCAAAAAAGTGCCTTTAATTCTAGTTCTTAAAATTCTGCTATGAAAATGAATGTCTTTTTAAAAATTTAATGTCTATTACAATGTAATTATTTGTTGTATTGGTAACACTGTATTGGTTAATTTGGTAATGTGGAGAGATGAAGAAAGTTAAAGAAGATTTAATTGAGAAATCAAGAATGAGATTAGGGCTGAAAATGTAGACTATAAATTCACAGTCATTTTGAGGACATCTGGTAAGAATTAATTAAAATACTTTGATGTAAAATTATTTTTAGAAAGCAGTGAAACACATTGTGAGTAATTCAGTATGATCTTTTCAGTCACATCCAGGATTCTAACAACTTAAAATACGTTTGGTCACCACCTACAACATTGGCTTTAGTTTATGCAATCAAATCCTATTTGTTTGATATCAATATTGCTGATGCTTAGTGCTGAGGTCAATTCAATAAATTGTCTGCATTATTATAAAATAGTATTTGTATGACCTCTTTCCTTAATAAATTTTGAGTCCCAGAGAGTAAAAACAATATCCTTTGCAAGGATTTACTTTTTATTGTAATACTGTATATTACATTCAACTTTGGAAATAAACATTCCCTATGATATAATTTTAATATTGTTGATTGAGCAATAGAATTCATACCTACTAGGGCAGGGATTGATCACAATTTGCTGGAAGAGCTAATGGAAATCATCTAGTATATATTCATGGAGAGTTTCATTAGTGAACCATTTTAATTGAATACCAGACATTTACTCTCTGAGCCACTTGAATGAAGCTGATTAAATCTAGCTAGTTCCTTGAATAGAATATGATCATTATATTTCTCAAAAAACACTTGTAAGTGTAAGCTTGTGAATTATGTCATTTCAGGTGACTTACATGTTCTATCTTCACTGGACCATGGAAAAAAGCAGTAATATCACTGTCTTTATTCTCTTGGGGCTTTCCCAAAATAAGAACATTGAATTCCTCTGCTTTGTATTATTTTTGTTTTGCTATATTGCTATTTGGATGGGGAACTTACTCATAATGATTTCTATCACTTGCACTCAGCTCATTCACCAACCCATGTATTTCTTCCTCAATTACCTTTCACTCTCCGACCTTTGCTACACATCCACAGTGACCCCCAAATTAATAGTTGACTTACTGGCGGAAAGAAAGACCATTTCCTATAATAACTGCATGGTACAACTCTTCACCACCCATTTTTTTGGAGGCATAGAGATCTTCATTCTGACAGGGATGGCCTATGACCGCTATGTGGCCATCTGCAAGCCCCTGCACTACACCATCATCATGAGCAGGCAAAGATGTAACACAATCATCATAGTCTGTTGTGCTGGGGGATTTATACATTCTGCCAGTCAGTTTCTTCTTACCATATTTGTACCATTCTGTGGCCCAAATGAGATAGATCACTACTTCTGTGATGTGCATCCTTTGCTGAAATTGGCCTGTTCTAATATACACGTCTTAGGTCTCTTAGTCATTGCTAATTCAGGGTTAATTGCTTTGGTGACATTTGTTGTCTTGATATTGTCGTATGTTTTTATATTATATACCATCAGAGCATACTCTGCAGAGAGCCGCAGCAAAGCTCTTTCCACTTGTAGTTCTCATGTAATGGTTGTGGTCCTGTTTTTCACACCTGCATTATTCATTTACATTAGACCGGCTACAACGTTCTCAGAAGATAAAGTGTTTGCCCTCTTTTATACTATCATTGGTCCCATGTTCAACCCTCTTATCTACACGTTGAGAAACACAGAGATGAAGAATGCCATGAGGAAAGTGTGGTTTCGTCCAATAGTTCTGAAAGGAAAATAACTTTTCTGAATCATTTCTGCTTTTCATGCCATAGTTCCCAGAGACCACAACACATGAGTGAGAAAGAGTCACTCACAACATGCTCTTGTCATTTTTAGGATAGAAAAGTGAGCAAACAGGAAGTGTATCTATTCTGAGGTTTTATACTTCTACAGTGACATCTCAATAACAAATTGAGCATTACTCCTATCCATACTCTCTTCCACCTTTCTTTTCTTTTCTTTTCTCTTTTTTTTTTTATGAGATGAAGTTTCACTCTTGTTACCCAGTCTGGAGTGCAATGGCGTGATCTCCGCTCACTGCAGCCTCTGCCTCCTGGGTTCAGGCAATTCTCCTGTCTCAGCCTCCTGAGTAGCTGGGATTACAGGCACACACCACCACGCCCAGTTAATTTTTGTATTTTTAGTAGAGACAGGGTTTCACATTACTATTGTGCTCATGTGATATGAAATAACCAGAAAATTTCATAAAAATAAAGGATTACATGGTGTCATGTTGAAAAATTAAAATAGATTAGGTGTTTTTCATGCCTTAAACTTCTAAGAAGATGAATGAAATATTACCCTCAACTTTTTACATTTTTACCGAAGTCTAAACACAAAAAGTGCATGTATTTCCTGTGTACAGCTCGTGAACTTTTGCAAATTGAGCATGATTGTGTAATCAGCAACTGGATTAAGAGACAGATGTTATCAGCACATCATAGGCCCTCCTCAGTCCTCTTTATAATTCATACCTCCCAAAGCTAAATGCAATACTTATTTCTAAAATAATTAGTTTTTATCTGTTTGTGTACTTTGAAGAATAAGAAAGATATATTTGGCTACTGAATATGTGTCTTCTCAGTATTTCATTTGTGAATCATTTCTCATGTTTGTAAGTTTTCTGATTGTTTCCATTGATGTATAAGGTATCGTATTTTATGAATATATAATGACTAATTTACTCATTTCCTCATTGCCAGACATTTGGGTGGTTTCCCATTCAGGATTATTATGTATAGTGCTGCTTTGAATATTTTGAAACATGTCTTTTTGGTGAATATATGTCTTTTACAATTTCATTTTACTTTATAAAATGTAATTAAAAAGCAATTTTAAGAAATTTAAACAATTTTAAGTAGTACTGTATTTGTATTGATATTCTTTCATAACTCATTACTGATATAAAATGAAAGGTAATAATTGAGAAAAATAATTATCCATAAAAAAAAACTAAGTTAAAAAAAAAGATTTAGAAATAAATGTGTAAAACTTCCAAATTCCACACAATAGATTAATGCAAACCTATCTGTCAATCATGGGAAAAAGGAAGAAATTCTCTTAAAAAGGTAGTTTACACCATGAAGCTTAGAAAAACTTCCAGAGATGCAGCACTGGATTATGTTAGCAAGATTAACACACAGGTATCATTACTGAAATACATTATCAAATAGAATATTCATTGTAGCATATGAAGACATTTGCCATATTAAAGGAAACTTGGGAAATTCTGTATTTAGCTTCTAAGAAGAAAAGAAAATGTACTTCATTGAACTCCCAATAAGGGCAATGATGCCAAATGAAGAAGGCATGCTATGAATTTATGCTAACACTGGATTGCACCACACACAGTCAAACAAATACACACGTGTATGTGCAGACACTTAATGCGGAAAATAAAGTCTTTTCAGGAATTTATATTTAAGGCATAGTTGAAATAAATCTGCTCATATAGAAAACCAAAACATATAAGAAGAAAAAATATGCTCAAAAGCAAATGATCACACAACAAAAATTACTGAATATAGGAGGAAATTAGGCTGGAAACAGCTATGCCAGAGCACAGCATATGAAGACTGGGTTTATTGTAGTTGTTGGACACAAAACATAATATAAATGTTGATTGAATAAAATAGAAAATACTTTTAAAGTTAAATTGCAACATTAGTCTAAAAATTTTCAGGGGTGTTAGAAAACAAAATAGCTTCAATTAATGAATAAAAGAATATTTTTATTAGAAACTCAATGGATAAAACATAGTAGCATATCCTAATAATCTGTGAATTCCAGATATCAACAAATTTACTCAGAAAACCAAGAGAGACACAAAGATATAGAAAAAGTTAAAGGGATATTAAGAGACCTTAGAGATGGAATGAAAGGGAGCAACATATGTCTACCAGACTTCAAAAGAGTTGCTCTCAAAAGAGCCATACAAAATATCACTTCTAATTAATAATAATTTAAAACACAGAAAGACTAGAAGCTAGAAGAAAATAGAATTACATTTTAAAAGTGCCAATTTTAAGATATTGTCCTCGAATTCTGTATTTTTTCAAGAAAAGTGAAGTGGGCAGTCTTCAGTAGAATAAAACAAAATAAGCCGCAATTTAAACATGGCCAAGAGTTTACTATACAGACACAGTCACTTAAAGTAGTTGTAAATATTAATTTTTATTAAGAGGAAAGATGTTCCAAGAAGGAAGATTTAAAATCCAGAAAGGAATAGTTTATCAGGAAAATACTAACCTTATGTGTAAACTAAGATATTGTGTTAAAAATATTAATTATGTCTAATATGTAAGATGAAACATAGAAGAGAGAACAAAAGCCTTAGTCCATGACATCATGTAATTTGAAAAGAAGTACTCTTAGTAGGAGAGAAAAGACACTGATCAAATTCAGACTTGGTAATATTCATGTACAGATATGATTGTTTTTCAGTAATTACTAAAATAGCATAAGAGGGAGAGAAAAAGAGACAGAGAAATGTATTTTTAAAAAGAATATCATTCCAAATAAAAGGCAAGAAAATAGGAAGGAAACAGACTAATTGGACAAAAGCAAAAAACAAAGGTAAAAAAAGATTATACAAACCAATTAAAATATATAAGTGAAACAAAATTAACACATTGTACTAAATTCTTCAGCAGAATAGTAAAAATTACCATAATGGTTTAAAATACAGCTTGTAAAATGTGCTTTCACAAAAGATGCACCCATAGGTTACCTACAAAGGGAAGCCCACCAGACTTACCGTGTATCTCTAAGCAGAAACCCTACAAGCCTGAAGAGAGTGGGGGCCAATATTCAACATTCTACAGAAAAGAACTTTCAACCTAGAATTTCATATCCGGCCAAAAAAAGCTTCATAAACAAAGGAGAAATAAAATTCTTTACCAACAAGCAATAGCTGAGAGATTTTATCACCACCAGGCCTGCCCTATAGGAAAAGTTCCTAAAAGAAGCACTAAACATAGAAAGTAACAACCAGTACCAGCAACTCCAAAAATGTACCAAATGGTAAAGAGCATCTACACAATGAAGAAATGGCATCAACTAATGGGCAAAACAACCAGCTAGCATCAAAATGGCAGTATCAAATTCACACATTAAATGTAAATGGGCTAAATGCCCCAATGAAAAGACACAGACTGGTGAATTGGATAACAAGTCAAAATCCATTGGTGTGATATATTCAGGAAACCCATCTTATGTGCAAGGAAACACATAGGCTCAAAATAAAGGGATGGAGGAATATTTACCAAGCAAATGAAGAGCAAAAAGAAGCAGGAGTTGCAATCCTAATCTCTGATAAAATAGACTAAACCAGCAAAAGATAAAAAGAGACAAAGAAGGGCATTACATAATGGTAAAAGGATTAATGCAACAAGAAGAGCTAACTATCCTAAATATATATGCACCCAATACAGGAGCACCCAGATACATAAAGCAAGTTCTTAATGACCCACAAAGAGACTTAGACTCCCACACAATAATAGTGGGAGACTTTAACACTCCACTGTCAATATTAGATGGATCAACGAGACAGATAATTAACTAGGTTATCCAGGACTTGAACTCAGACCTGGACCAAGCAAACCTAATACACATTTACTAACACTCCACCCCAAATCCACAGAATATACATTCTTCTCAGGACCACATCACACCTACTCTAAAATTGACCACATAATTGGAAGTAAGTCACTCCTCAGCAAATGCAAAAGAATGGAAATCATAATAAACAGTTTCTCAGACCACAGTGCAATCAAGTTAGAACTCAGGATTAAGAAACTAACTCAGAACCGCACAACTTCATGGAAACTGAACAACTGGCTCTTGAATGTTGACTGGATAAACAATGAAAGGAAAGTAGAAATAAAGATGTGTTTCAAAACCAATGAGAATGAAGACACAACATACCAGAATCTCTGGGACACATTAAAAGCAGTGTCTAGAGGAAAATTTATAGTAATAAATTCCCATATGAGAAACAAGGAAAGATCTAAAATCGACACCCTATCATCAAAATTGAAAGAGCTAGAGGAGCAAGATAAAAAAAACTCAAAACCTAGCAGAAGACAAGAAATAACTAAGATCAAGAAGAGTTGAAGGAGATAGAGACAAAAAAATACTCTTCAAAAAATTAATAAATCCAGGAGCTGGTTTTTTGAAAAGATCAACAAAATAGACAGACCACTAGCCAGATTAATAAAAAAGAAAACAGAGAAGAATCAAATAGATTCAATAAAAAAGGGGATATAACCACAGATTCCACAGAAATATAAACTACCATCAGAGATTACTACAAACAACTCTATGCACATAAACCAGTAAATCTGGAAGAAATGGATAAATTCCTGGACACTTGCACCCTCCCAAGCCTAAACCAGGAAGAAGTCGAAACCCTGAATAGACCTATAACAAGGGCTGAAGTTAAGGCAGCAATTAATAGCCTACCACCCAAAAAGAAGCATAGGTCCAGTTGGGTTCACAGCTGAATTCTACCAGACACACAAAGAGGAGCTGGTACCACTCCTTCTGAAATTATTCCAAACAATCTCAAAAGAGGGAATCATTTCCAAGTCATTTTATGAGACCAACATCATCCTGATACCAAAACCTGGCAGAGATTCAACAGGAAAAGAAAAATTCAGGCCAATATCCTTGATGAACATCGATACAAAAATCTTCAACAAAATATTGCAAACTGATTGCAACAGCACATCAAAAAGCTTATTCATCACGATCAAGTAGGCTTCATCCCGGGGATGCAAGTGTGGTTCAACATACTCAAGTCTATAAATGTAATTCACCACATAAACAGAAAGAACCGAAGACAAAAACCACATGATTATCTCAACAGATGCAGAGAAGGACTTTGACAAAATTCAACAGCCCTTTATGCTAAAAACTTTCAATAAACTAAGTATCAGTGGAATGTATCTCAAAATGATAAAAGCTATTTATGACAAACCAATAGCCAATATCATACTGAATGGGCAAAATCTGGAAGCATTCCCTTTGAAATCTGGCAATAGACAAGGATACCCTCTCTCAACACTCCTATTCAATATAGTATTGGAAGTTCTAGCCAGAGCAATCAGGCAAGAAAAAGAAATAAAGCGTATTCAATTAGGAAAAGACAAAGTCAAATTGTCTCTATTTGCAGATGACATGATTGTATATTTAGAAGATGCCATCGTTTCAGCCCAGAATCTCCTGAAACTGATAAGCAACTTCAGCAAAGTCTCAGGATACAAAGTCAATGTGCAGAAATCACAAGCATTCCTATACACCAATAACAGACTTCAAGAGAGCCAAATCAAGAATGAACTGCCATTCACAATTGCGACAAAGAGAATAGAACACCTAGGAATACAATTAACAAAGGATGTAAATGACCTCTTCAAGGAGAACTACAAACCACTGCTCAAGAAAATAAGAGAGGACACAGATGGAGAAACATTCCACACTCATGGTTAGGAAGAATCAATATCGTGAAAATGGCCATGTTGCCCAAAGTAATTTATAGATTCAATGCTATCTTCATCAAGCTAACTATGACTCTTTTCACAGAACTGGAAAAAACCACTTTAAACTTCATATGGAACCAAAAGAGAGCCCACGTAGCCAAGTCAATTCTAAGCAAAAAGAACAAAGCTGGAGGCATCACACTATCTGACTTCAAACTATACTACAAGCCTACAGTAATCAAAACAGCATAGTACTGGTACAAAAACAGACATATAGACCAATGGAACAGAACAGAGGCCTTGGAGGCAATGCCACACACCTGCAGCCATCTGATCTTTGACAAACC